CGGGAATCGAACTCATGCGGAAGCGGCTTTAGATTCTCAGTGCAGTGCTTTAACCCGTTGCGCCACCAGGGAGGGCCTAATCTTTGAATTTTTAAGTGAAAAAAGGAACTTTGGTTCATATTGCTAAATCTCATTTTCTTAATTATAATTTTGAAATAATATAAAGAAACATTTAAAGAAATGCATGTAACCTAGTGGTATGGAGTAGACACTTGGATAAATATATTACTTTCATTCTGCTGTAAAGTTATAGTGGTGCTGCCGAGTTCCCACTTAGTCGGTACTCAGTTTCCTCATTATTAATGTCTTATATTAGTGTGGTCTTTTTGTTACATTTGATGAACTTATATCAGTACATTATTAGAAACTAATTTGAGACTTTGTTCAGATTTTCTTAATCTTACCTAATTCTACATCCCCCCCCCCAATTTTGTACTTTGCAGTTTAACATGGTATAAGCAGAAACTAAAGAAACTCTGCTTAGTATTTGCCATATGAAATAGTATAGAATATTTACTGCCTCTGCCATATTCTTTAAATGTGAGACATGTTTTATTTGTGTGACTCCTTTCATTTTAGCTTCCGAGGAAATATTTCGGTAAAAGCAGTTAAAAAAGAAGTAGAAAAGAAACTACGATGTCTACTTGCTGATTTACCACTGCCCCCTGAGCTCCCAGGAGGAGATGACCTTTCAAAGAGCCCAGAGGAAAAGAAAACATCAACACAGTTACATAATAAAAGGAGACCTAAGTATGTGCTTGCTTTTCTACCTGATCTTAAATTGACCATTGCGATTTTGTGTGATCATAAAATCTTGAAGCATAAAATTAAGATTTATGATAATAAAAAGTGTATTCTTTCAACTTAAGTGTATGAATAAATTAGTTTTGAAGAAAATTCATAATTGCCTACGTACATATTTTAAAATAACTAATAAAACTAAGCTTCATTTTCCCTTATAGCTTGTAATGTATTGCTTTCTTGGGGTAATAGTGTATGTATTAAAGAAAATTTACATAATTAAGATACTTAAATAACATAGACAAGGAGGTCGAAGTCAGTGAGCCCAAACAAAACTTACAGTGGGCAAGCTACTGTGCTTTCCTCTCCTTTTAGTTCCATTTACATCCATAACTATATGTAGTCTTCATTTTGCAAGAGTTAGTGTAGAAGAATTGAAATATGTATCTTAAACTGGCTTCAAGTAAGTGCCTAGAGATAAAACTTTTCCTGAAAACCTTTTTATCAGTTAAGGGAGGAGAATGTTGATTTCCCTTTTTTTTTGACTGCCACTTAACCAAGGGAAAGTGTAGACTGAGTTAGATCTGATTTTACAGTTACTATTCGGATAGTGCCTACTGTAAGGCTATGAGGTGATTTTTCTAGTATAGAGTAGAAACCTAGAAACTTTTAACATAGTGTCTTCTGAAGGTTTTCTGTTACAAAACTTAAAAATACTATAAAATTACTTTTCTTTTTGAAGAATGTGAAATATATGTCTGGCACACATATATACATATTCTCTGTATAGCTCCCTGAGGATTGATTTTGTATTAGACTAAAAATCTTTCAAGAGTTTTCTGTTTTTAAGATGATTTCATCTAGCCTAAGTCTAAATTTGTTAGTAAGTCTTATAGTTAGACTGCTTATAATAAGCAGTATTTATTATCTAACTTTCATTTTTTTTGGAAAGGGGATATATGTATTATCAATGAATGAAAAAAAATTTTTCTGGAGATTGGTTAGAGAACTTGATTTTGTACTTGTGTTGATTTGAAAAATATATTTTATTTCTGAAGTTTCATGTAAGCGATACCTTTTCATTTTTCAGTTTTAAGAGTTACTGTATGGAAGAGTTAGTACGGAGAAATGATATCTTGATTTTTAGGATAACTTATGCCACATCACTTTTTTCTTTTATGTGATAGGATATATGCAAAGATGGGATAAATAAAGGATATGCGGGTGGAAGGTAGATAATTATGAAAGTCAATTTGCTTGATTGTATATAAAAACTTGAGAACTATATTTAATAGAATATGTGGGCCTCGCTATGGTGAAATCAAAGAAAAAGATATTGACTGGGGAAAACGCTGCGTGGATAAATTTGATATCATTGGAATTATTGGAGAAGGTACCTATGGACAAGTTTACAAGGCCAGGGATAAAGACACTGGTAAGAATGGCAAATGCTTTGGACCTGTGGAATGTACTTCAATATATGTTTTTCATCTATTGTATAGCTTTAAGAGTTAAAAAAAAAACACACACACAGCTAAATTAGAATTTACCATACTTTTATTTCATCTTTTTATTTTTATTTAGTTATGTACTTATGTGAGATAGGATAAAAAAGTGTGTGTGTGTGTGTGTGTGTATGTATTTTTTTTTTAATGTGTGATGTTTAGTAAGATCGAATTTAGGTTCCTTTAAAGCTGAATAAAATGTCTTGATCTAAATAAGTCTTAGTAATAAATTTTATATTAAACCTTACTTTAATGCCTTTTTTAGGCCACCATATTTTTTCCTGTAGAAATTGCCCTTTATTTGGAAGTCAGATTTTGTAGTTTTAATTTTTTTAGAACATAGTTAAGAACCTAAAAGTTAAAAGTAGAAACTCCTGAAGGCAGTTGCAGCCTAGAGTAGTAGTATTTGTATTGTAATATTTACTTACATAGATACTTCTTAATATAATAGATAATTGTATTTATAGGGTACTATATAAATCTATAATACCTGTGTATTAAGGAGATTAAATTATAATTTAAAGTGCTTAATAAAACGATTACTTTTAGGTTTCCATGAAAAAGGAATTAAGTAAGGTTTAGGGACTAAATGGTTACAACATTCTTTGGAAAACTTATAATTATGAATTCCTCTTTTTCTCCTAAGAAGTAAAATGAGCAAGCCTTTATTATAGTGTCTTTTTTCTTGTAATCAGATTTGTGTGTGCTTTATATAATATTTAGATTTTTTAAGACTTATTTTTATTTATTGCATACATGAACTGGTGTGTAGGCTGGAGGCATGGGAGGCTAGGGGGTAAGAGGATTCACCAGAGACAGAGTGGGGAGCCCAATAGGGGGGTCTACTGAAATACACTGCTGAGGAGAGCAGTGGCTAGCCAGGAGAGGTCTGCTGTGCTATGTGTGTCAACTCTCTGGCTTATCGAACTCATGCCACAATGGTTGGTGATTGCTTAACATGGCTTAGACTTTAACCCCTGCACCATCAGGTAGGCTCTAATATGTAGATTTTATTTGATATAATACTCATATAAAATATGAAGCCATATAGTGAGACCAACACATTATTTTTGAGACACCTAACCCTGAATTTGAATCCCACTTTCATTACTAGGTAGCTAGGCAGCTAGGTAGCTTTGAGCAGGTTAATTGTCTAAGTACATTTTGTCACCTCCGCAATGTCTAGTATTTTTGTACTGGTTGATAGAGACTTTATGCACATACAGGCATTAATTGGATATGATATGTTTATTCTCTCAATTTTTAAAATGACAGTGTGATTTAGTTATTTTTTGTCATTTTTTAGTTTTCATTCAATACATCTAGGAGAGCATGAAGTAACAACTTTTTAAAAAGACTTTGGAGCCTCCCTGGTGGTGCAGGGGATAAAGACAACACTATCAAAACTATCACCAGCCACTGCAGCATGAGTTGGATTGCTGGCCAAGGAGCTAACCCACATTGCTTAGTAGACCTCTCCTGTCTTGCCTGCTGCTCCCCTCAGCAGTGTTTTCAGTACTTCTGCCTGTTTTGCTCCCCACTTTGTATCTGGTGAATCTTCTCATCCCCCTACACACTAGCTCTTGTATGCATAAATAAGTAAATCTTAAAAAAAAAAAAAAAAGATCTACACTATTCTTTCCAACAGTTGAATAGTATTCCAAAGCGTGAATAAATACCCTTTCATTTATTTGGCCAGACTTATTTTCTTGAACCTATTTCTTGACTTATCTTCTTGAACTATACCGTTTGGTATATTTTGTGGATTTTAATTTAATAGGTAGAAACAAATTATAAATAAAATAAAGTAAAATTTAAGAAAAACTGTCTTGGTTTTGTGAACTGGTAATTGATTTAATTTAATCTTCTAATAGGAGAAATGGTAGCCTTAAAAAAAGTACGTCTAGATAATGAAAAGGAAGGCTTTCCTATAACAGCAATTCGAGAAATTAAAATTCTACGGCAGCTTACCCACCAGAGTATTATCAATATGAAGGAAATAGTGACGGATAAAGAAGATGCTTTGGATTTTAAGAAGGATAAAGGTATGTATGCAATTTGAAAAAAATATAACAATTTTTAGACTCCTGGTGCTGACAGTTTACTGACGTTGTTATAGGTACTAGTCAATTGATTAATCATTAAATAAATAAAATTACTGTCTTCATATCAAACTACTTTTAAATACAGTCGAAGAATATTCTTCTTTTAGTCACCTTAGTAAAGATCAAAACATAATTATCAGTATTAGTTAGTAGTTTTCTTTGAGTCACATTGTATACCTTTAGTCTTTTATATTTTAGTGACTAAGAAATAGGTTATAGTAGTACCAAAACAGTAACTTCTAGCTCATAAAATTCGGGCTTGGCAAGTCTAGAACAGATGGGAAATTACAGTTAAACTAGCTAAAAGGAATAATTATGGATACAATTTCACCTTTTTTTTTTAAAGATTTATTTATTTATTCATACAGAACTGGGGTACAGGCCAGAGATGCGGAGGGTGAGAGGATTCACCAGGGACAGAGTGGGGAGTAGAACAGGCAGATCAAGGAAGCACACTGCTGAGGGGAGCAGCGGGCGGGTCAGGAGAGGTCTGCCTCGCCATGTGGTCACTTCCAGGGCAGGCGGGGATCGAACTTTTGTGGAAGTGGTTTAAGCTTCTTTGTGCTGTGCTTTAACCCGCTGTGCCACCAGAGAGGGCCAATTTCATCTTTTTAACTGATGCTTCTTTCCTTAGTTTTTATCTAAGTTCCATATTACCTTGACAATTTTATTTGGCTTTTCTTTATTTTTTTAATTAATTTTTTGTTGTGTAGTAGACAGGATGATGGTTTGACTTGATTTAGAATGTCTGGATATGATAATTTACGAGCAGTGTGATTTTAATTAGCAAGTCCTTTAGCTTTTCTGACTGTCTATTATAGGGAAACATTAATTCACTTTCTCTGTAATAAGAATTAAAGTAAGATTATACATGAGAGTTGTGTACAAGTGTTACTTGTTATCATTAACCTTGTTAGTGTATTTTCTTTTCTTCAACATATCCTGAACCTCTTGCTTTTTTGAACTTCATAATTATTTCTAGTATAATTATATTGATTTGTTACCTGTTTTTTCTCCAGTTGAAGATAGAAACCATCCCTGCTTTATTCATTTGCTATACTTTCTACCATGGATTGTGCTAAAACAACTGATTGCTGAATGAATGAATTTATTATAATCCTTTCCATACTTTAACAATTCAAGTAACAGTTTTAAAAAGACTGCTACCTCCAAAAGGGCATTCTTAATTCCTTCTATTTGATTTATGATCATCATTTACTTTCATTAACAGATACACATTCCCTGGTGTCATCATTTTTTTTTTCTTTTCTTTTACTTTGACTCCTTCACAATGCCAAGCTCTGTATTTTACTGATCACACATTTTCTTGTGTTTTTATTTGCATGTTCATTTTCCCTGTCATAATCCTATTTGTAATTGGATGAGTTGTGATGCCAAAAAAAATGTCTTACTATGTCAGAAGCTACACTTAGGTGTCACTTATTAACTATATTAAAGCTTGTGAGGGAGTGTACAATTAAATGTAATTGTTTAGAAAATATTTTATCAACATAATTTTATTAATGAATCATTAATACCAATTTTTTATTGGAGGATGACATATAACATTAATTTCAACAGCATAATGGTTCCTTATTTGTATATATGCAAATTGATCACTGCAGTAAAGACAGTTAACATTTGTGATGAAATTAGTGATTGTTGATTAAAACTCTTGGTAACTTTCAAATATACAATAAGGTATTATTAACTGTAGTCATTAGGCTTATATTACAACCTCATGACTTTTTCTTTATAAAGGAAAGTTGAGCTTTTTGACTACCTTCACCCATTTTGTCACCTTCCCTACCCCCCATTTCTGGCAACCACCAATCTGCAGGAGTTTGGTTTTTGTGTTTTTTAGGTTTAACAAATGAGAGATGATATAGTATTTATCTTTCCTTGTCTAACTTCACTTTGCATAATGCCTTCAAGGTTGTCACAAATGATAAGATTTCCTTCTTTCCTATGGCTGAATAATACTCCACTCCATACACATTTTCTTTACTCATTCATCCTTCCATGTAAATAATGCTGCATTGAGCATGGGAATATAGATATATTTTTGAGCTAGTGTCTTAAGTTCTTTGGGTAAGTATTTTTAATTTTTGAAGAGCCTTCATACTGTTTTCTATAGTGGCTATGTACCATTTTACATTTTCACTAACAGTGCACAAGAGTTTCCTATTCTCCATATCTGCACCAACATTTATTATTTCTTTTCTTCTTGGTAATAATCATTTGAACAGATGTGAGGAGATTTTCTAAATAAATTTGTTGATTTTGATGGGAATATGATGATGCAGCATAATTTGGTAAAAAGAATCCTTTGATTCTAATCCTGAACATGAATGCTAGCTATATAATTTTATTACAATTGTGATTGCTAACCTGGAGTAGAAAGATAGTCTGAGCATTTTAATACTGTATATTAGAACTCATAAAATTTTAAAAATGAAACTGAAATAAATATGAAAACATAAAGATCCAGAAAAGTTATAAATTTATAAAAATAATTACATGTGCATGATGACACATGCCATTGGCTGTATGAAAAGAATGTCATAAAATTTCTTAAACTTGACTCTACTTAAAAATGGGGGGGAAATCGCAAAAATTATTAATAAAATGTTATTTTATCTTATAAAAGAAGTTATTGTTTTAAGAAAACAGAGGTGTATATTGTCACCAAGTTGTGAGTTTATTTTTGCGCAGGCACTCAAGAGGTGCTGAAGAATCTCTTTATGAAATAAATAGTTGAGGGATGAATAGGAGGGGAGATAAACTAATTCTAAACTTAGTTCTTATCTCACGCTTCATCTCTAAAGTGTCCCTTTTGTTTTTAATAACTTTTAAGGGATCTTTGGTACCTTTTTTTTGTCTATTTCTCTATCTTTTTATTGTTAATAAAGAGGACTTTGTTCCAAAGAAATTATTTTCTACAACTCCAGATCTTTAGTTTAAATATAGAGGGAGAACGAGGTACAGTTGCATGTGGCATTTTCAGTGCATTATGTTTAAGTATTTCAGTGTTCATAATGAAGTCATTAAATAAGAAAACCTTTATGTCTTAAGATTTTAGGGTTTTTCTTACTTGATTTTAAACATTTTTTACAAAGTATGTTTACATTGATTTTACATGTATTTTTAAAAATAGTATTTCAAAAATAATTTAAAAATATATTTATTAAATGTGTAATGTCCATTTTTTAATGATTTACATAAAAACTAGATATCTAATTTTCTGTCTCTTTGTGTTTCTTATATTAGTCCTTAGTAAATGTTGAGTTGAGATGAGAGAAAAGTATTTATAAGGCAAATTGTAATATGATCTAGTATAAGCAAATAAAACCTTTTTATGATAGTGAGGTTTGAATTATCAGTTAGATACAAGAAGGTATTTTTCTTAATGTTAAATAAAATACACTTAAATAATGCTTTTCAAGGAAATAGGCTAAAATCTTAGGGATAACTTCTGTGAGTCACAAGGAAATACAGAATTAGACTCATATATTGAAACTTAGCACACAGATATATAAAAAAACAGAGATCAGTTAATTTACAATAAAAAAGACATGAACATCCAATGGAGAAGGGAAAGTCTCAACTGGTATTGGGAACACTGGGTAGCCACATGCAAAAGAATGGAATTGGATCACTAACACCATACACAAAAGTTAATTCAAAGTGCCATAAAAATTTGGATATAAGACCTAAAACCAAAAAATACATAGAATAAAGAAGGTGCTGTGCTTCATGACATTGGCCTTATTGATATTTTTAGGGACCTGACTCCAGGGGCAAGGGAAGAAAAACTAAAAATAAACAAATGGGACCACATTAAACTAAAGTTTCTGCAGAGGGAAAGAAACTGTCAACAAAATGAAAAGACATCCTATTGAATGAGAAAAGATAATTACAGATCACACATCTGATAAGAGGCTCTTTGCCAAAATACATAAAGACCTCATACAACTCAACATCAAGAAAACAACCCAGATCAAAACATAGGCAGAAGAGCTGAATAGATAACTTCTCAAAAAAAAAAAGATCTACAGTTGGTTAATAGGCACAAGAAAAACTGCTCATCAGTACTTATTACTAGAGAAATGCAAATCAAAACCACAGTGAGATACCTCCTAATAGCTGTGAGAATGGTCTCTATAAAAATGACCATGAGTGTATAAAGAAAAAGGTTTCCTTGCATCTTGTTGGTGGGAATGTAAATTGGTACTAGAAAACATTATTTACCCAGAAAGTAGATCTGCTCTGTGATCCAACAGTCCCATATCTTGGGAACAATTCAAAAAATATGAAAACACTAACTTGAAGGAATATATGCCTATATTCATTGCAGTTCTATTCAGAATAGCCAAGATAAGGAAATAGCCTAGGTGCCCATGGACAGATAATTAGATAAAGGAGAATATAGTATGCATATACAGTGGCATTCTACTCAGCAATTATTAAGAAAAAGAGAATCTTAAAATCTGTGATAACATGGATGGGTAGATGGAACTTGAGAGGATTATGCTGAGTGAAATAGCCAGAAGAGAGAAGGACAAATTCTGGATGATAATACTCTTGTGAAAAATAAAGAAACAAAGCAGATGAACAGACTAACAAATACAAACCCTTGAATTCCCATAACAGAGCTGAGGCTACCAGATGAGGGTAGGTAGTAGTAGTAAGACAGACAGGAAGTCTCATAGAAGAGATGTGAACCATTATCCCTAAAATACATAGTGTTATCTCAGCTACAAAATCATTATTATCTCAATTACAAAAAAATTTAGTAAGTCAAAATATTGAAATGTTAAATTTAAAGCATCAGTGCCTACTAGAGAGTAGGCCCTAGCCTAAGTGCTTTACAAATACTAACCCCTTGAATTCTCATAATAGATCTATGAGAACAATGAATGAATGAGACTTAGGAAAAG